TTTTGAACTGAAATAGCTATCTTGAAGACCTTCCGATGCAGTTTACACCCCTGCCCGTCCTTAGACTTAAATCTCTTGTTTCGGAGCTAGACACCCGCGAAAATGTGTAAAATATTTCGTGGAGGGTAGTTCAAGGTCACATTGGCATTCATGACGTTAAAATTCGGTCATCTAAGTCCTACCATTCCACAAGTCATGCTGCGATCAAGGCCGAGAGAAATATGGTGTTCGGTTCGTTCATATCTGGCGTTTGAAACACGATTTCCAGAAAACGCGGCCGTCAATTGGCTTTCAACCAATGTTGCGCAGGGTGCGATAACTTAATCGAGCAATGACGAGCAAATATCGAGGAACATGTTTACTAAGCGGAGAAATTGTGTTGTCTAGAGCAGTCTTCTCTACTGAAAAGGATACGAATAGAGCTTGTTGCATGATATCTGATTTTGCTTTAAATAAATGTGAAACATTGCCTCTAATAGAACGGGGGTGGCGAAATAATGGTGATCCTGCAACGCTGTTGGAAAATCCAGCTTGCATGCAAATACGTGATAACTGACATGACATAGCTCTTAAATAAGTGGGCTTATCGTTGCCGAAAGCTTGTATTAATCTGCGATCACTGCGCCGATGTATTATGTTTTAGTGGGCGTGACACAGAACTGCTCAAGTTGAAGGTGCTGTCATAGTGCATACAAAATCCACTCTGTTTGCAGCCTCACCCGTAGCTAGTGATGCAATTAACGTGATCGTGGTATGCTTCGTGTTATCTATATGATAATTTGGACTGCCTTGTCCACCGTCCAACGTCCCAGTGGCCCCTTCCGTAATTGTTAGATCTGGTCCTGAATGTGATTATTCGCTTTCACGCATTTGCATAGAACACATTTTCCTCTCCACGTTTAGCAGCTTATGTCTGCCAAGCAGGATTTCATTCTCCAGCACGCGCGGCTTATGTGCAGAGGAGGAAACTCTGGCGTCACCGAACAGCATGCGACAGCAGAATGGGGAAGGGGGAATGGGGGTAAAATACCACTCCCATTATCTCGGTATCTAATGTTTTGATCGGAAAGCGCGAACAAACATCGACAACCCTGGCCAGTCTTACATGCAGTTAGGTCAGTAATGGTCGAGTTCATGTTGGTCACGTGGCCGATTGCGTCCCATGTCGCGCGAGATAAGTCATCGAAATGTAGAAACGAATGTAAGCTTGACCTCGCGCCTGAAACTAGAGCCAAACGAGAGAGCGTACGGTTACACTTCACGAGTATACCGTAATGCCTAACACAACACAGGCCAACTTTTAACGTCAGGACACCCTATCTGGTATTGCTTTCCTGCTCTCCAGCTCACCGGACATACACAGGTCATTTGGGGTGGAGATCTGTTATACCGACTTATTTATGGTAGATGGGCGTAACAGCTCATTCTGGTTCGGCTCATTAGCAGATCTGACATGGCTTCTGATGGTGACCTGCTGTGCCCTCGTGCAATGCGATTGGCCCTGGCAACAGTCACCTCAGTCGATGAGCAACGTTAAGGCTCTCGAAAACAGGGCCGAGAACTGCGAGCTACTGCATATGTTATGTATGCGAGTTACTGCATGTGTTACTGCATGTACTCGCGCTTACTTCTATGAGCTACTGCGTGTAAATCGACATTCGAACCCTCACGGGTGATGTCGTTATGCCAGTGACGTCAGCGGCCTGATCGAGCATAGCAGATCATCCTTCGGAATGTGCCAGATTGGTCGCCTGCCAGGTAGTGCAAATTTGGCGGTTCTAACTCGCGCGGCTCATAAGGTATTCCCGGAACTCACTGGACAGGCTGCTTCTTCTCACGCAGGCGACACAGGTTATTAAACGATATCGATGCACTCTGGATTGTTTTTGTTTCTGGTGGCCGTGACCGACGCATGGCGAATCACGCAAGGTTGTGGATGGACGCTGGGCTCAACACACGGGACGTGCGCGCATGCGGTTGTCTTGACCCGAACCTCGCTGAACCTCTCACGGTGCAGGTCACGGCGTGATGAATCCAGGCCGGTTTCAGGGGAACTGGCGCTGGCCGCTTGCCGGCCGGTCACCAGGTCGGCAGCTACGGGCCATAACTGAAGCACGGGTCGGACAGCGTCGAAATCGCGCCAGGATCTGGAGGCGGTAGATTCACCAACACTGTGCAGTTCGCTTTGCGTTTCTGTATGCTCCCGCTGCCCATATCTCAATATCAATGTTTTTTAAGCGTTCAGAAACAGGCTGATGCGTGGTTGTGCGAGGGCGTATGGCCGCATGTCATGTCAGGACACGAGCCTTGCCAGAACGATGGTCCGTTTTTTCCTCTGTCGAGATGTGTTGGTCTTGTTTCTCTGCGATGCCGGGTCGTCGAGACCTGGCCCCGGTTTCATCAGTCTTTTTAATCATTTCTGCATCCTGAAATTGTGCCTTGCATCGTTGTTTATCTTTGCAGTTGGAAAATGTGCTTATTCCCATAGTCAAGAGAAAGAGATGTAAAACGGCGACAATATTTTATGGTTATTGTTGCAGACAACTGAGGTTGCAACAGGCTACCCTGTCTGCCGGCGTGCTGTATACCGCAAAATAGGTTGCAGGCTGCTTGAACGGGTTGCATCCAAACGTATTGTGCCTAACGACTTACAACATTTCGAAAATTATTGTACTTCTTGTGACTGAAAAGTGTATCTCGGCTCGATCAGTGTGCACATATCTCTAGCGCGACGGCCTCGCCGCTCAGCCTACAAAGCTCTCTGTGAGTTGACGCTAAACCTCGCCGGGCCCGCCGCCTGGCTCGTAATGCATGAACGTGGTCCCGTGACCCCGCACGACCGCGCTAGCAGCGCAGAACATCCCGTTCCTATTGCTGTGAACGGCCCGTATACTGCGACCAGATTGCGTCTGGCCTGCGAGGCACAACAGCAGTTGCACGGCACCTTCTGGTCGGACCTGCATCCGTGTGTTTGTTGTACGTCAGCGAAACCAAACAGCTGGGCAAAAAGTGTAAGGAATGCATTACACTGGAATGACACTATTTTGTAGGTGGTGTCGGAATGCAAGCAGATGCCATTGCCCTTTTGAGTACGTTCTCCTGCTGAGAAAATGTCCTCTGCGAGCATACGTCCAGGATAAGGGCAACTCAAAACGAAATAACCGCTGGTGCCCACTGGTATCGTTGCAAAGGATAGGACGCACTGGCTGGTTAGAGATCGACCCCGACGCCACTTGTAAGGTGGGCCCATGGGGGAGGGGGCTGTTAGAATGCAACGACGCCGCATCAGAGCCGATCGTAGCGGAAATCGAGCCCCGTCTGGCAGCCTTCCGCGGCCAGCCGCGTACCGCGCTGGCTCGCTGGAGGACATCAGCCCGCCTCCAGCTGCGGTTCTGCCTGTGTTCCCCGCATGCGGGACGCGGGCGTGGACGTGGACGTGAGAGTTGCTGCTGTAGCGTGCTGCAGCCGCTGGCGCGGTGAGCCCGTGCGCCTGCTTTGCTGACCGCGGTCCCGGCGGGATACGAGTACGGCGGGTCACGAGCCGCCCTCCCATCATCCCTTCCGGCTAGCCCGTGCGCCTTCTCCGCTGACCGCGGTCCCGGCGGGACACGAGTACGGCGGGTCACGAGCCGCCCTCCCATCATCCCTTCCGGCTAGCCCGTGCGCCTGGTCTGCTGACCGCGGTCCCGGCGGGATACGAGTACGTCGGGTCACGAGCCGCCCTCCCATCATCCCTTCCGGCTAGCCCGTGCGCCTTCTCCGCTGACGGCGGTCCCGGCGGGACGCGAATACGGCGGGTTACGAGCCGCCCTCCTGCTCTCCCTGCCGGCCAACCCGTGCTGACCGCCATTGACGTCGTCCTCACGGCCTGTGACTAGCTGTCCGCGGCCGCCGACATTCAAACTCGTTCCAGTGCGGACTGACCCGTGGCGTGCCATCTCCAGCGCCGCGACGGGCGGTGCTTCATCCGGGGATGTGCTCTCGTGGTGCTAGTAGAGGCTCCGTCATGGCTTAGAGGTGTGTGTGGGAGGTCGAGGCGCCCGTGTTCGGAAGGCTTTGCGCTCCATGCCACCCCGCGTGCTATTGGTGTTATGTATATTGGCGGTGGCGTGATGCTGGGTTCTGCAAGGATGACAAAAAGCCGGGCGCCCGATCGGCCTTGTCGCAGGCCGTGGAGCCTGTCAGCACGCCGGTGGCCGGCTGTACTCCTGTCGGCGGATGGTATTCTGTTGTCGCAGCGCGAAACGGCCAGTTGGGCTCAGTTCAGGGCGTGTTGTTATGATATTTGGTAACACCATCAGAGCAAAGCAAAGCGGTTGGGCACAAAAGCAGACACTGCGCCATGGAGTGTGGTATACTACACCACACGGCATGAGTGTAGGCTATTAAGGTCATGTGTGCATCTAGTCAAAACATTGGGCCATGCCTGGCTCGGTCGGGCCCCCGCGCTGAAAGGGCCGCTCCGTCGTCTCGACCACCGACCCAGCCCGATTACCCCGCAGTGGGCTGCACCGATTAGGCAATGAGGGATTATGGATGACGTTGTTAATAACGCCTTTCAGGTTCGCTGCAAACCTGATACAGTCAGCACCGTGAATGGCCTGTTTTGTCTTTGATTTCCACTTAGTTTTTTCTTGTAGCGAAGCTAGGGGTACAGGGGCACCTTATTTTAATCGAAATGATGGCATGCAATTTGGGTAAGCAGTTCCATAGCTGAAATCGGGTGGGTGCACTCCGTCCGTCCTCCATATTTCTGCTTACCTCCCCTTCGTCATCGTTCCCCTCAGCTTCAAATGCTAAAGGCGCGGTGAATTTCACCTTGTGGTTAGTTTGTCCAGATGCCCGGTCTGGTAATAGTATAGCGCATATTGCGGTCAGGATGTTTAAGTTTGCTTTAGGTGTGCCCCCGCTAATGACAGGTTATCTGCTGGCTCGTCCCTCGCCGGCCTGATAATAGTACAGCGCATGTTGCGATCGGCATGGTCAGGTTTGCTTTAGGTGTACCCCCGGTAATGACAGTTTGTCCGCTGGCTCGTCCCTCGCCGGCCTGGTAATAGTATAGCGCATGTTGCGATCAGGATGTTCATGTTTCCTTTAGGTATGGCCCGGTAATGGCAGGTTATCTGCTGGCTCGTCCCTCGCCGGCCTGGTAATAGTATAGCGCATGTTGCGATCAGGATGTTCAAGTTTGCTGTAGGTATGGCCCGGTAATGGCGGGTTTTCTGCTGGCTCGTCCCTCGCCGGCCTGGTAATAGTAAAGCGCACGTGGCGATCAGGATGTTTAAGTTTGCTCTAGGTATGGCCCGGTAATGGCAGGTTATCTGCTGGCCCGTCCCTCGCCGGTGCTCTTCGCAGGGGCCGATGCATGCGTCCCATCGGGGGTTACGGTCGTCCGGCGCGGCGCCCGTCGGCGGGGAGTTGCCGCGTCTTGTGCGAAGCCCGTCGGGAGGCGTAGCTGTGACGCGGCGTCCTTGGCCGCGCCTGCCAGCGTCCCGGTGGGGGAGGGGGAGGGGCCGCGGCTGCCGCCCCGGCCGCCGCTCCGGTCCGAAGCCCTTCTCGCGGCCGCAGCGCAGGGGCGCGGATAGTGCATCTGCCGTGGTCGGGGGTCAGGGGCGGGGTGAGAGCGAGGAAGTATTGACGAGGTCACGGTGGGGAGGACACGCGGCGTCAGTGGTATTTATTGCGCAGGATGGCGTGCGCCCTTCCCGTTAGTAACCCGGGCAAGCGGCGAAGGCCATGGTCAGGTTTGAATGCAACGAGTCGAAACGTTTCCTCGCTCAACTTCAGCAGCGGTGACCGTCTGAAGATAACGAATTGAGCAAGATGCTTTTTAAGCCGAGGTCTGAAGCCGATTAACACGAGCTCCGAGGCCTGAACACATGACGCTGTTGCCGCGCGCGTGCGCCTGCGCCGAGGGCGCCGCTGGGCGCGTGATGCCGTCCGTCGGCCGGCTGCCTGCCGCCCCTGGTGACGTCAGCGGGGCGGCCGTGACGTCAGCGCGGTCGGCGCCGGCTGACGTCAGCGGCGCGTAATCCGGCTTGCACGGTTATTTTCAGGCATAGCCGGCACGGTGTATTTTCTGGCCGACCTGCTGCACCCAGAGAAGGCCCGCTTCCCCGGCCTGTGCTTTCTGAGGGGGCGGCGACGACTGCGGCTGCGGCGGCGGCTGCGGCTGCGGCTGCGGCTGCGGCTGCCCCGGCGCTCCTGTCTCGGTCAGGAGCTGCGCCTCCAGACTGTGTGGAGAAGCTGACCAGCGGATGTGGTGGTCGGCTCCGTCCTCGCTTCGCGCGTCTGCGAGTCGCCGCGTGCTGGCTCTCCCCTCGCGGTATCAGCTCCGGTGCAGGCTGTATGGTCTTCGAGTCTGCTCAGGAAGTAGCTGCAGATAGCGCTGTCGGATGTATGGCAGTGGTCAGTTTTGAAGCCACAGCCTGCGTTTCTTCCAAGGCTTCCACGACTGTTCAGTAATCTTGTTAAATCGGTGGTCATTTTCAGACCCGCCTCGCTTGAACCCGACCTACACACAGTGGCGATTCTTTACATCAATGTAGCAGTTTCAAAGCCACGCGTAGTCACGGACACATGATTCAGTCAAAAATTTGCAATGTGCTTCGTCCATGTTTCTGTGCTCTGTGATTTATGGCTACTATCTCCGGTGCTCCGTCTCGCGTGCGTATCTCCTCCGTCTCGTGTTCGTGCGCAATCTCAAGATACGAGTCGTCTACGCCTGCTAGAAAAGTTCGATAGCTTATCGAGCAGCAGTCTTCCCGCCCCTCTGGACGAAACGGAACAAGCATGTTACAACCCCTCGTGGTCTGAATCGAGCCGAACCTCTGGGCTCCTGAGCCAGACGTGAAGAACGCCCGCCCGCGGCACGCTTCAGACGCCAGCGTGCAGTGCATAATCGCGAGATACTAGCATATCCCTCCTGTGGTCACTCTGGTGACGCTAAAGGGACGGATCGTATGATTTCAGGTCGAATAGCCCGGCATCCAGGATGTGGTGCGGGCTCAGTCCGCTCAGACCATTGGCGTCGCTCAGCGCCTGGTCTGAACGTGGCAATGCCCATGCTGTTCAAAGCTGGAGCATGGCTTCTGCCTGTCGGGTTAAAACATTACATCTGCAGTCGGCCGCTCTTTTGTGAGTTTCTTCCAAATGTCTAATTGCTCTTCGACGTAAGTTGCCGTCGACTGGCGCCAAAGCAACGAGCTGTTTTTGCTCGCCTCTGATTTTATCTGCACCATTCGCATCGTTCCGCACAGCCACGTTTATCGGCGTTGGTGACTTGTCGCCCGCGTTTGCAGCCACTGAAATCCGGGGAGATGACGTTCACTCTCCGCTGACGCGCGCATGCCGCGAGTGTCCACTATGGCGGCCAGGGACTGTTGCGCAGCTTTATTAACCTGCCTCATTCACTCTATTCTCGCGCATCGGATCAGCTGTCGGGACGCACAGACGTGAGCTGTCGCCTCCCACCTGGTGACGCCGCCCGACTGTTGACCCCGTCCGCCGCTGGCGCGCTGTTCCGTTCGTTTGTTGGCATGCCCGGCCCGGTCAGTTTGTGTAGCGGCAGTGTGTGTGCCGTGTTCCCCCGCGCCGCCCGCTGGGGTCGGGCCGCCGTCGTGCGGACCTGCGCGGTGGGCTGAAGTGCTGTTTGGTGCGTCCCTGCCAATACACGCTGCGCCCATTCTGGATCGGTCGCTGGCGACACTGCCGAGCGCTCGGGGTGAGGGGTCGGGGCGGCGCGGCGGGCCGCCGGCGCCCCCCGCACGCGGCCGGTCAGACAGCACAGCCGCGCGGACAAACCACTCCAGACGCGGGCGGGCCGGGCGACAGGCCCGGCCCGGCCTGTATGGCCACACAGCTGATGATACAAATACACGCTCTGCACAAATGTCGGCCGATGGTGGGGGGGGGGGGGGGGAGGGGAGGGGGCAGGCTACAAATAAATGGCACGGTGGGATGCGTATCAGATGGGATTACCGTCGATTTTGATTTAGCGGGACTCTCCAGCCAAACCAAGCGCACGCACCCACCCCACAGCTAACCCAGCACCGGTAACGCCGTAACGCCAGTTTGACGCGCAGCCGGTGCCGGCGGGACCCGGCCGCCCGCCGGCACGGCGGAGTCGCTGAAACGCGCTGCCGCTCGCACAGCCACCGCCGCGTCACACGCGGGTCACGCCCGGGCGCGGCTGAAGGCGACGAGAGCACGCGCCGCGCCCGGCGCGGCCCGACCCACGCGCAGGGCCTTTGGCTTGCACATCACTTCAGGTACAGTCTCTGCGGTGCCGCGGCTGGAGCCGGCGGGGCGGTGCGCCGCGGCCGCCGCCCTCAGTTCTGCTACCCTGCATCGCTCAGGGCAGCTTCTTCTGACAGTAGAGCTCCTTGAGCGACTTGAGCTCCTCGATCAGCGCCTTGTTCTGGTCTCCAGCACGGCCACCCGGTTCTCCAGACACTTGATGTACCTCCTTCTTCTTCCGCGCGACACTCGCGGGCCGCCTCCCTGTGAGCGGGCCGGCACCGTTATACGCACGTCCACGGACACGCAGACCGCGGTTGTCAGGAGAGGTGGGTGGGGGGGGGGGGGGCGACTTCCGGGAAAGGGGAGGGAAGGACCAGGCGACGGCACGAGTCCGCCAGCGCCGCCTCTGGCGGAGGGCAGGGCCTTCTGGGGGAAACAGCAGGAATGTGCGCCTCCCCCCCCCCCCCGAAACGGCCGGTGTTCAGGTCGCTAAATATATCGCCATTCAAAACCGTCATCACCTTCCTCAGAATAGATATAGCATTATCGACTGGTAGTACCCGTTCAAATTCTACCGTCCACATCTCTTCAAATGGCTGCACCGCTGCTGTGTCCATAGAGCACGCTTTAGAGTGCCCGGTTAAGTCCTGATATGACACGGGGTGGGGAAATACCTTAGCACTTCTCCAAACTTGAACAATGAACGCCTGGCGCTGAATGGTCACAAATCGAACTCGGAACACCGCAGCTCGCAAAGGCAGCGTCTCCGTCGGCCATCCCATTATTTGCACTGAATCCCTCAGCTGGAGTGTGCAATTTTCGGTGCCCCTGCATATCTCACATACAATCAGGAGCCGCTGTAACGGTCCTGATATCAGATACACGTGGCCGTTCCTACGGAGAGCTGTGAACACCCCCGGTTGCGGCTAACACCCCGCAACCGGGGCCAGACGGCCGCAAGTAAGGCTGCCCCCCTTCACTCCGCGCCGGACGCCTTGAACGCCACCTCCCCGTGACGTCTGCTGCTAAACGACGGGTTTACGTGGCCCCCCGTCAACTGTTTACATTTGACCGCTGCAGACCAGGAGTCACGGCCGATCCGGGTCAGTGCACGGACCGCCGGCGGGCCCCGCGTTGCAGATACACGAGTCACGGCCGATCCAGGTCAGCGCACGGACCGCCGGCGGGCCACGTTGCAGATCCGAGTCACGGCCGATCCGGGCCCAGCGCACGGACCGCCGTCGGACCGCGCTCCCGGTACCGCAGCATCAGACGCTAGCTCCGACACCGGCCCGGCTGTGACGCGGGCCGGTGCCGTCAGCAGCAGCAGCAGCGGCAGGCGGCGGCGGCGGCCGCCTTCGGCCCCGCTGGACGGCGCTCCGAGTGGTTCTGGGTGCGGCCGCCCCCCCCCCCCCCCTTCTCCCCTCCCGGGACGGCCGGTGACATCACGCCGCGGGCGGGCCGGCCGTTTCCCGGCGCCGGCTCGGACGCCGTCCATCCGAGCCGCCAACCGACACCGAAACACCGCCGAGCCGGGCATTCGCCGACGCAAAACCAGTTTTGAAGCGACGGCCATTGGGCAATCTTAAGGCAAAAAACACGCCTCGAATCGCAACGGCGCGCTCGTATCGGCCAACACCGTCGGGTTCAGACGGCCGGCGCCGCCAGCTGCCCACGTCCGGCCGGATAACAGCAGGCTGCCCCGCACGTCCCGCCGCGGCAGACGTCCGGTCAGACCCCGGCTCCGACCGGCGGCCGAGCAGCCCGCCGTGCCACACGGAGCCGACTCGGCGCGCAGCTCCCGTGCCGAGAGGAAGTCCTCCCCCCTCCAACACACGCACGCAAACCCAGCGCCACGCGAGGAGGGTCCCCGTGTGGCGGCCGGTGACTCCGAGGCCGAGACTCGAGGGAGCACGCGCACCCCTCCAGCGTTCCCGTTCGGACCCGGAGAATTCAGTGCGGCCACCTCGGGTCTGGATCGGACGCGACTGATCACGCAGAGTGGCGCCGAGCCGCGGCTCCACGAGACGTCCGACGCCGTTCCAAAGGAGTGCTACGGCGCCCACAAACGCCAGGAGGCGGCCCGATACACGCAAGCGAAAAGGAGCATCTGTCCAGCGGGGCAACACTAATGAATCATCAAGCGTGCACTGCGCGCACGGCCGCCAGCGGAGACGTGGACAGCGAAGAGAACGTCCCAGCACCCCAGGCATCCCTCGCTGACGGGCTCCCCACGCGCCCGTCGCTGGCCGAGCCGGCCGGCCACCGCGCCCCGACCCCATCGGTGCCACACCTCGCGGACAAGGTTGGCCGAGGCACCCCCCCCCCCCATCGCAGAGAAGGTGGCCCGAGGCACCCCGCCCCCACCATCGCAGAGGTGGCACGAGGCACCCCGCCCCCCCCCCCCCATCACAGAGAAGGTGGCACGAGGCACCCCCCCCCCCCCATCGCACAGAGGGTGACACGAGGTACCCCGCCACCCCCCCCCCCCCCCTCCCATTGCAGAGAAGGTGGCCCAAGGCTCGCCTCATCGCAGAGAAGGTGGCCCAAGGGACGCAGAGGGTGACCCGAGTCAGCCCTCGTCGCAGCGCACGCACCGCTACGCCTGCCCGAGCCGGCGCGGCGTGCCGTCCGCCTCACCTGTTCTTGTAGAGTCGCACCTCGCGCTTCTTCGTGACCTCCTCGACCACCTCGCCGGAGGAGGTGAGCACCATGTGCTGGCTGCCGCCCTGGTCCAGCTTCAGGCCGCCCGTCACCGGTATCGACACTGCAACGGCCGCACGTTAGCCGCAGCGCACAGACCGCCGGCACGCCCGACGGCTCACCGGCCACCTCCGACTCCGGGCCAGGCGTCGGGCCGCGCGCTCGGAGCCGCGTGGGCGCCCTCCGCGAAAACGACGGCCGATGGCATGGCTACGCGGAGACCGCTGCGGGAGAATCTCCCTGGCAGGCACATCGCTGACCTCAAGAATTACTTACTGATGCAAACACGGGTTCGTAGCCTTGATTCGATGCATGACGCAACCGCAGCCAGTTTTCGACCGCGATCAGGCGCTGTCATGGCCTACGCCTAGCTTAGAAGCGAGGCTCCTGTCCACGGCGTAGAGTCTCGACAGACAGCCAAAACCGAGGCACCTGGACAACCGGTCAGAGCTGGCCAGCGGCGACGGCACGTACTCCGGGGGGTGTGCGCCCTGCTCGGCCCGCACGGCACCCACCTGGCACGAAGAACTGTCCATCGCCCTGCGTATACTGGACAATGGTGTTGGCGGCCGCGCCGGCGCTGCTCATGCTGAGCGTCTGCAGACCCTGCACGCCGTCGGCGCACGAGATCTGGATGGTGTTGGCCGGGATCACTGCGGGCGGCGCGGAACGGCGTCAGCGCGGCGCGGCTCCCCACGCCGGCGTCATGACCGCTCACCGGGGCCGCCGCTCGACGGCCAGCCAGCGGGCCACCGTGAGTATTCACACAGAGAATGAACCCTCAACTCAAATATAACACCTGTCTCCTCCTTTCCAAGCCGACGGGCCGACCGCGCCGCCACCCGCAGTGGGAGCGTACCTTTGATGATGCCGTTGCCCTGGTAGGCGGCGCCCTGTCCGTCCACGTCACCGTCGCCCTTGTCCTCGGAGATCTCGCCGCCGCCCAGGTCGTTGAGGATCTTGCGATAGGAGGGTCGGCGCGTGAGGATCTCGCGCCGCCGCCGCGCCGCCTCGTCCTCGTACTGCGGTGGCAGGGCGTCCGCTTCGATCACCTGCCGGTGGCCGGCGCCGCGGTCAGCACCGCGGCGACGCGTGTCCGTCCGACCCGACCCGACCCTACTCGCATCGACCCGAGCCGACCTGACCCCACCCGGACACGACACGGCAGCCGGGACGGACAGGGACACGATATTGGAGCTGATTTTTATTCTACTTACTACTAAGAGTACGCACCTTTTGCGATGCATCACGCTTTACTTATGTCGCGCCATTTTAAGACAATACGAATGCATGCTCGTCGAGAAATCACAGTCGCAGGACGCTACCGGGCTCGAATACTGATTAACCGACAGGCCGCTCGAATA